CACGTGCTCTGGGTGACCCTGCGTGAGCAGGGGGGTTGGACTCGATGACCTCTGAGGTCCCTTCCAACCTTCGGCATTCTATGATTCTATGATTGGCTTAAAATATGGCAGCCTGAKTTCAGCTGCTTCACTTCCCAGGTCTTTTCTTCTACTACCCTCTGCTAAAAAGTTGGGGACYGTTCCTGATTCTTCTCCCTGATCTCACTTCAACACTAGTGCATTTGGGACCTGCCTCAGAAATTAKATGAATGTACATTTCCCACCTCTGTCTGTTGACAACACAAATGGACCTGAAAGAAACCAGATTTCCATCAAAATGACCGAAGCATCAGGCTGATCTGTCAAATTTCTCTAAAACCTTCTTTTAATTCCTAAATAAGCGCTTCTCACAGAGAACTTTGCCATGTTCACTGCTTGCTGTTTTAACCCAAGTTTCCTTGTGTTTAGTGTAAACTCTGAGATTGCATGCCAGTCATATGCAAGACACTAGCCTCCTTTCTTGGGTTATCTGTCCTTCTTCTCCACTCAGCAAGCACAGAATAATCCTTCTCTGTGGAGAGAATTGCTCTGCCTTTCAGTTTCTCCATCTCCACTTGAAGAACTCCAGGACCAACTGAAGATTCCAGATATATATCCAGATTCCTACCCTACACAGTCTCAAGGGCTCCCTTTTGGAAACTTTTGTCTATAAGCTGGATTCTTCTCCCTGCCCAGAGCAGTACAATAGCGACAGGCTAGGGCTGATCACAAATGATATGTCAGCATTACTAACATGGTGCAAAGAACACTCCATCATAACAAGGCTTATCTCCACAAGCACAGTCATGAACAAACTAAGCTAATCTCCTTATTCTGGATCTAACACAGCTTCCAGGTGTTGGGCATCTCCACTGCATACAGTGCAGACAYACCCAAGGCAACCAGCCAAAGGTGGAGCAGAAAACACAATAGGAAAACTTGTATCTGGGTTTCCCCGGTTCACGTCTCCCCTGTTGCCCCAAATCTGCTTGTTTTTGTCACCCTGTGTTGCCCAAACCACCTCACTTGTGATGAGTGCCCAGTTGTAGTAAATCCTCACCTCCATGCAGCAGTCTCTGGAGCTTCTGTATCTCCTCAGGGATCATCAGGGGTCAGGGCATTGCAGAGCCCTGACAAAAAGCAAAAGCCTGACTCTTTGCAGAAGTGTTCAGWGTAATCGGGGATGTATTTGATAAGCAGAACAGAGAATTTCTGCCCTAAAGTTTGATTGAACTAAAACCTGTGATGCAGCGAGTTCCCTCTTGTATTTTTTGCAAGGCATACTACTTACCTCCGCATTCTTTACATTTTCTGGAAGACTGGAGCTTAAGTCTAGACAGAAAATTGCCTTCTGTATGTAAATTCTTACTTATATGTCTGTTGGGGAATTTTAAGCCTTATATTTGCACTGCAGTTGCTTGTAAATAGAAATAGTTGAAGCAAGGGAGCTGGAAGAGAGTACTCTCAGTTTGATCCCACTTTTCTCACAGATCTGCTGCTTTCTGACTGTGTAAAATAATTGAACCCAAAAACACCTCAAATTATCTACTGATAAGGAGAACTAAACAACACAAGTGATATTTAGTTTGCAACCAGCATGAGGCTTACAGAAACGTGGGCTCTGTGGCTGAGAAAAGAAAGCCAGTGCAAGGTTATGTTTCACAGTAGTCAGCAAGAAGATGTGTTTTATTGCATTCCTTGCCAGTTGCTTTGCAGAAACAAGTTCTGGCTTTGAAAATTGCTGCCTCTTCTCTCTAGAAGTGGAGTATTTCTATCACAGCAATTGTAGGCTTCCCAAGTAGGTAGCTTTCCCATTTCATCTTAACTATTTGGTGCACGCATGGTACCACATAAGTAGAAAATGTTCCTCCAAACATTGAGATTAGCTCCAAAAACAGACAAGAAGGCAGTTCCGACAGCTTTTATCAGAACCTCTGTGTATTATGAATAGTTCAGCTATACAAAAGTGCTAGCATGTCCTCATAATCCCTGTTAATGCTTGGGATCCCAAAGCCGTTCGTGGTAACTGTAACCCTGCCAGCTAACCAGAGATCTTTTCCCCTCCCATATTATTCATATCATATGAAAGAAAAAAAAATAAATAAAAAAAAGCAACTCTGCATTTGTTCAATAATTTTTGGAAGATAAGAACTCCTCTGAAGCACAGAGGACAGAACCAGCTTTTCAGTCCTCCCATTTCTGGAATAAGGGAATGGATATATTGCCTCTTGCAACTGTTGTGCACCATGTGTTAGCAAACCCACACAGGAAGAAGCTTCTTTTTCAAAATATCAGAGGCTTGATGATGTAGGCTTGCTAATAGAATGAACGGCCTGTCTTACATGTGTAAGGGGGCTGGTTTTGTTTGGGTTATTTCAGCTGCCGAATAGCAATTGGATGCTAAGTGGGAGAGAAGGTCTGGACGGAGTGTTTTGTGCAGCTGATTTGTTGGTGGCCTTGCTTAGAGCAGAAATCACAGCTCATCTGCAGGAAACCTGGACAGCAGCAGCCAGGGGCTTAGAGCAGCCTGACCGTGTGCATGCTTTGCCTCCCTGCTCCGGCTGTGCTACAAGGAGCAGCAGCTGCTTCACRTAACTTTGCATCCCAAGTCACTTGTCTCTCACTGGACCCTGTCATTTCTCAGTGTTTCTAATTAAAAGGCTTCCTTACTGCTTGGGAAGTAAAAAGAAGGAAAAATCCCAAAGTGCTTGGGTGGGGTTGCCACAAAGACTTCTGGTTCTGACAAAATTAAAATGCATTTTTTTCCCTCTAGTCCACTTCATTTTCCCCCACTTGTTTTAATGTATGTCTATGTATATTTTGCTCAAAATAAACCCAACCTTTTCTGTTATTTTGCATAACCCCTTGACATAGGTTAGGCCCAACCAGTGGCCTGTGGACCATAAGCTCAAAACCACTGAATCCRCCCTTGTTGTGGGTGAAGACTACCAAGATTTATGCTGGAAAAGAAAGTCTCCAGGTCTCTCTCTCTCCTCCAGAAGATAATGATTATTATCAGTCATCAGCAGCATCACAGGAAAAACTTTCTTAGACCAGCTGGSTTTCATTTAAGATCAGCTGACCTGACACCTCAGTTTTATCTTAGCACATAAAAGAAAAATCATTATTCTTTGTATAATTATATTCTCTGTAGAGAAGATAAGTGTGTTTTGGGGTACAAGAAGTGAAATGAGAACAATTACATTATCTCAGAATGTTTTCTACATCAGTTTTATCTTCTTTTAATTGCCCCAGGAATTAACAATAGCCTATGAAATGAGCTTCTTGGCAGGGAGGGAGGGAGAGAGGGAGGAAGGAAGGAAAGGAGGGAAGGAGGGAGGTTGGTCTTATCATTTAGACTCAAAATAAAAAAAGTAAAAATAAATAAAAGCAGATGCAAAGCTTACCTGCTATTGCTGCCTGTTACTGAAGACCATAGAGCCACAGAGCCCTTTCTGCCAGACTCACGATCCTGCTGAGCTGGATAATCCTGTGCAGCAGAGACACCAGGCAAGAACTTTCCGACCCAGCAGGACTGGTTGCTTTGCTGTTCTATTAGTCAGGTGGGCGAAACTCTACTGCTGCTTTCCTCCTCTCTGGAACACAGCAAAAAGCTGTTATCAGAGCCAACAACGTTATCACATTTGCCAACATGTGAATGCAAGCCACAGAACTCAGCACTTGAAGTGGCCTTGCAGATAGGTGATGGTCTCAAAATAGATTTGGACATCTATTTATTCTCCAGAGAGGCCTTGAAGAGATGTAGAGTCATATGAGAAACAACAGTAAAACTTGGTATTTGGTTGCATCCATAGCATCCTTTCTTGCTTACTGCTCTATTATAGGGTACTTTCTGTCCCGACTATTGAATAATGTTGTTCACCCTCTCTCTCTTTCCTGTATTTTTTTTTAATTAAACAGACAGCAAAATGAGCTTCTAAAATGGAGACCCACAACTTTTCTGTGTCAAACAGGGTTTTTCCCCCCCAGGCATGTGTCTATGCTGCACTTTTCCCTGCAGTGCAGAGGTGTACAACCTCTTTCTAAATGAAAGAATATTCCCTCTGGCAGCACAGAGATTTGCACAGGCTGCATCCCCTGCTTCCCACCAGGAGAAGCTTCTTGGAGCTCAATGCTTCAAGGGTTAGATGTCCTTGGGCAGGAGCTGCTTGAGTATAACAGCAACACATGGCAGCAGGCAGCAAGGACTCAACAGCTGAACTCTTCTCCAAGAAACATTCTTTTTTTCCTAAGCTTTTCTATGAACTATCTATGAAAAACAACACACAGTACCTAGTCCTTCCAAAGGAACACACTCTCCAAACCCAATGCACCTTGTGTCAGCTGGAGCATCCACTGTTAAATTTTTAAAGCAACATAATTTTTGTAAGCACGTACATATAGAAATAAAGCAAAAGTGTTAGGAGTAAATGTTGTTATAAAACCTGTGAGCATCCTAGTCACCTGCCCATGATGCTTTCCTTTCCCAATGTTGTGCCAGAGAATTTAACTATACTCACCCACTCACTCTTGCCTGGTTTTAAATCTACATATATGCACAAAGAACAAAGATTAGCTTTGGATCAAAATAGTGAGTTCTGACCCAGAGCTTCCATGAAGAAAAGGTGGGAAATGGAAGAACTCAAGTCCTAGGTTCAGAGAACAGAAAATTGTTTTACTCTAGTCAGGATGCAAGGCAGGATCTGATTATCACTGTTCTTGTCCTCATCCAACTCACAAGTCTGTACAAACTCACTTTCATTCATCGCTCACGATCAATTAGTATCTATGTCACTATTTTCTTTCAAAAGTCCTTATTTAAAGATGTGRAGAATTAAATACAGATGAATTAAGTGACTTTCTTTGCCATGGTCACACTGTGTGGTTTTCAGTGATTATCAGGGCCACATTTCAGCCGCTTCTGAAATCTCAGTTTTGTTTACAACAAAATATTTCTTCCCTTTCAGACCTGGATTTATTCAACTGTTTTGAGAAGTCTGAAGCAGCACAAATAAAATGCTACTGAGTTACCTTGAAGGCTGAAAAARAAGTCTCTTTAATGAATACACAAGACAGCATCTAATGAACACAAATTCTATCAGACGTTTCATTTTGCACATGATTTCAGATTAGTGTTCTTGCAGAGCAGGAGTCTGAAGCAACTGAACCTGAGCAGAAACAACCATAACAATCTYTTAACCTGGGGAGAGAAGAGCAAATGTTTACACAGAGATACTTTCATAGAATCACAGAATCACAGAATGGTGGAGGTTGGAAGGGACCTCAGAGGTCATCTAGTCCAACCCCCCTGCACACGCAGGGTCACCCAGAGCACGGGGCACAGGGCTGCGTCCAAGCAGKTTTTAAAGATCTCCAAAGAAGGAGACTCCACAACCTCTCCGGGCAGTCTGTGCCAGGGCTCTGTCACCCTCACTGTCAMGAARTGTTTCCTTAAGTTCCTGTGGAACTTTTGGTGCCTCAGCTTGTGRCCGTTTCCTCTAGTCCTRTCRCTGGCCACCACTGAAAAGAGGCCGCCCCCTCCTCCTCACTGCCTSCCTTGAGGTATYTATASACRCTGATCAGGTSCCCYCTCAGCCTTCTCTCCTCTTCCTTAAAACTGTTTTTTCTGCACTGTAATTCAGCAGGCAAGCAGGGGCAGCGGCTGACAGCCYGAGCGCGGTCAGCCCTGCTCCAGACGTGATGAAAACGCAGGACGTGGTGCTGCRTGCAGGTGGGCAGCTGGAGGCCTCACCAGCGYGCTCRGGCTGTKCYCCCACACACTTCACACYGCTTCGCCTCCGTCKCTTCTTCCCTTGCCTTCCCCCATCRGCCTYGTTGGCTTGTGACACTCAATTTGCAACGTCGCARTTCGGCCGAGTTGGAGGAGCCCTGGGTTCGAGGTAGTCGCAACGCTCCACACATCTCAACAGCCCCAGCTAAACCACCACTGGGTTACAAGAAGATGAAAAATAAAATCTCTTTTTGTTTACAGTCGTATTAGGAATTAGGCAGGGGTCCCCTCCCAGGCTGCTGACAACGTTTCGCTGTTTGTACCTGCTCAGAGCTGCTCCTACCCAGTCCTGCTACSCAGTCGTGCTGAGGGAGGGCCAGCAGCAGGAGATGCATCCCAGGGRCTCAGCAGCTGCCCCTTGGCTCATGCCACACGAGAAAGAGCAAATAACCTCTCCTCAATCACCTCCTTCACAGTTTCATGTGTGGTTTTACATAAATCTATCACATCTTCCTCCAAATGTTTCTGTCACAGACTAAACTGTCTCCATCCTTTACTTATCTATGGATACAGAAGTTGGTTCACATTTCTCATCAGCCTTGACATCCATTTTTCTGCTCCGTCTTTTCTAGGTGACATCACCAGAGCAACGCAAACCTCTCAAGATGGAAGCACACCATGGATTTAGACTGTGATAAAAAAAAAATCTGYGTTATTCTCTTTTTTCTTTCCTGCTGATTTTTAATTTCCCATTTACCTTTCTGACAAATGCTGTGAGTGCAGCTGAAACGCTCTGGAGCATTAAGGTATTTTTTTCTCAGTGCTAATTCCTGCAAGCCCACCGCTGTATGTAACGTTACATGCACTACTTTGCACTAATCACTGAACGCCATCTACGATTGCATTCTCAAGTTAATCAATGTTGTGAGGACTTTCTGTAACTCTTCACAATCAGTTTTTTATTTTGATTACTCCAAGCTACCGGATATTGTCAGCAAATTTTGCCACCTCCTTTGAAATCATCTCTCAGAGCACCCATGAGTATATGGGGCCTTCCCACCACCTCCACGCATCCCTGCATGGTCTGAAGGTCAATGACCTTCCTCTCTTGTGAAAACKGACCCTTGTGATTCCTGCCCCAACTTTCTTGTCTTTAAACTGGTTGTTAACCCACAGGACAGACTTCACCATTGCAACAACTTAGTTTATTCAAGGAAGAGCCTTCACCAAAGCTGCGAGGGATCCAAGTACACTGTGTTTACTGGATTACTGTAATGAACATGCACACTGATTCTCTCTAAAAAAAACCTAACAGATTTATGAGCTGTGACTTCCAAGCTGTGCTGACTCTTCTCCATTATTTTGTATTTGTCCATATGTCTACTAATTTTCCTTATTATGCTTTCTTTTCTTTCATTCTTTTTGTTGCTGTTGTTTTTTTTGAATTGTCCCTCAAATGAAAACCAAAAATACGATGATGTGGTTCCTTGGGTCCTCCTAGGACGCTTTTTAGAAGTGGCCATCACGTAACCCACTTCCTCTAGCCGTAAGGCTAAATTAAGCAAAGCCAATTTAAGCAATAGGTTACTCAGCACAGTTAATAGTTTGGCAATTTCATATTTGAGTTCCTTGAGAACTCCTGYGCGAGCACCATCTGCTCCTGTTGATGTGTTATTATCCATTTTATTGGCTTGTTTTAAGAACKCTTTTAATATCACTTCRGTATGAAACCTTCCTGCACACTTACCCAGTTAAGGTTTCCAGTATGGAAACTCCACAGAACTCCTCCTAAGCTGGGGCAAGCGCCAATGCAAATAATCTATGCAGCCTTCCCGCTATCCCTGAGATTTCCTGTTACACTTTGATCACTTACCCGCTTTATGGACTCTCTGCCAGAGACTTTCTGTTTCTGAAATATTTTWAAAAATCTTTTGTATTATTAGCTATATGCTTGCATGATGCTACCAAAGCCTTTTTTGCTTAGAAYTTTATTATGGTTTCACTGGCTTTTGCAGAATGAATGTTTTTTCTGCTTTCCTCATTTGTACAATCATCTCTATTCTGAAAATAATATTTTTTCATCTATTTTTCCTCTGCTTTTCTCTTTACTTGCATGAAATTATGGTCTTTTCCTGACAGGTAACATATACCTACCTTAAAACTTTAGTAGGGTGTCTTTAAATGCATACATGACACCTACCAGCAATTCACTCTTGATGATGCAGTTCTTTCTAACATAGTTCCCCATTTTTCTATTTTTGTCCTTTTTGAAACTTTACACACTGAGCTTTTCTATTCCCACGGGGTTGCTGAATTTGGGTGTGTGGTGGTCCCTGCGCTGAGACACCCCGGTGACATTTGGGGTCRGAGCAAAATCTTGCACTTTGCTCAGAACGAAACCAAAGAGTTGATTGTTCTCAGCCAGCATCTCCGCCGGACTGTTGCACCAAGCAGCTATTTACGGTAGCTACAAATACACCCCCTGCCTCCTACTTTCTCATAACATTTGCCCTGCCTGCAGGATGTCACTGAGACCTCCCTTTTTTTCTGTGTTTTCTCTAATTGCCCTGACCGTTTCTCAGTCAGGGTTGCCATCCTGGTCTGAAAGGTAAAAGTATCGCCCTATTCAATATTTTCCCYTTTCAGACATGATATTTCAAGCCGTGGTGGTTCTCTGCCACCTACATGCAACTGATGAC